GTTAGGAGTGCTGTGATTGTATATTTCTCCCTGAGCAAATAGACCTAGAATCATAGAATCATAGAATCAAAGAGTTGGAAGAGACCTCATGGGCCATCCAGTTCAACCCCCTGCCAAGAAGCAGGAATATTGCATTCAAATCACCCCTGACAGATGGCCATTCAGCCTCTGTTTAAAAGCTTCCAAAGAAGGAGCCTCCATCACACTCCGGGGCAGAGAGTTCCACTGCTGAACGGCTCTCACAGTCAGGAAGTTCTTCCTCATGTTCAGATGGAATCTTCTCTCTTGTAGTTTGAAGCCATTGTAACGCATCCTAGTCTCCAGGGAAGCAGAAAACAAGCTTGCTCCCTCCTCCCTGTGGCTTCCTCTCACATATTTATACATGGCTATCATATCCCCTCTCAGCCTTCTCTTCTTCAGGCCAAACATGCCCAGCTCCTTAAGCCGCTCCTCATAGGGCTTGTTCTCCAGACCTTTTATCATTTTAGTCGCTCTCTTATTCCTCCTCCTTCTTTTTCTCAAGTTTGCGAAATAAGAACAGCATATTTAGCTACGAGATCAAGGGAGCTAGCTGGCATGGAAACTTTCCACTCAGGCTTCTTTTAAGCCTTTTATTTTAGCATTCTTGGCTTCTACTTGGAAGCAGAATCCTTGATGAGGAAGTAATAATCCTCCGGACAGATTTGATCAAACAAAATTGAGGATTTGCTATTAATAAACCGTGATTCACATGTTTCTTGGGTTATTGTATTAGAATTCCAAAGTGCCCTTTGAGGCGCATAAATAGACAATCAAGGACAACCCCCATATATTCGGGATTGGTTCGCACAGTTTCAATTACCCACTTACAGTAGATATTTCCTAGGTCCTCCAGCACAATTCTATGGTATGCTTTCACTGGATGTTGGCCAGATAGTTGTTCTGGAGAGCAGTAGATGCCTAAAGAGGTAAAGGTTTAAGTCTAGTCATGTCCGGCTCTGGGGGCTGGTGCTCATCTCCGTTTCTAAGCGGAAGAGCCAGCGTTGTCCGTAGACACCTCCAAGGTGGTGTGGTCGGCATGACTGCATAAAGCAGTTACCTTCCCACCCGAACGGTACCTATTGATCAACTCACACTTGCATGTTTTTTAACTGCTAGGTTGGCAGAAGCTGGGCCTAACAGCGGGAGCTCACCTTGCTACCCAGATTCAAACTGCCGACCTTTCAGTCAGCAAGTTCAGCAGCTTGGCGGTTTAACCCAGAGGTGCCCCAGAGATGTTACCTTTAGACATTTTAGGTCAGGGATCCACGAACTTTTTAAACAGAAGTCATCACAGGCCTTCAAACTGTTGGAGGGCCGGATTATAATTTGAAAAAACATGAATGAATTCCTATGCACACTGCACATATCTTATTTGTAGTTCAAAAACACTTAAAAACAATACAGTAATTAAAATGAAGAACAATTTTAACAAAAATAAATTTCCGTGGGAAGTGTGGGCCTGCTTTTGGCTGGTGAGATCGGATTGTTGTTGTTGTTGTTGTTGGGTGCTTTCAAGTCATTTCAGACTTAATTGACCCTGAGCGAGGGCTGGGTAAATGACCTTGGAGGGCCGCATCCGGCCCCCGGGCCATAGTTTGGGGACCCCCGTTTTAGGTCTTTCAACACCATTCTATATTGTATGCTTGGGCCAGAGGTGGAATCATAGTATCCAAAAGTTGGAAGGGACCACAAGAGTCATCCAATCCAACCCAATGCTATACAGGAATACACAATCAAAGCACCACCCCCCCCCCCCACACACACACACACAGAGATGGCCATCCAGCCTCTATTGAAAAGCCTCCACCACACTCCAAGGCAGAGAGTTCCACTATTGAACAGCTCTTGTGGTCAGGAATTTCTTCCTCATATTCAGGTGGAATCTCCTTTCCTGTCATTCAAACCCATGGCTCTGAGTCCTAGTCTCCAGGACTCCCGAGTAATTATTACAATATATTGTCTGCAGATGTATAAATGTATAAAACTTCTCAAGTCACCTCCTGAGATATTGGCAGGACCAAAAGAAGATCCTCTCCCCAAAACTGCAGAATCTAGACAGGTTCAAATGTGAGCACTTAGCCCTGTAGAGATGGTGATGCACTGATGGAGGAGCAGGCAATGGCAGTTGTCTGTGCCAGCAGTTGTAGCACAATGTATTTCGTGGGTGCCAAGTTGGGGAAAGCTGGTGCTAGAGAAACAAGAGTATTGATCATGATTTCTTGTCCTGTGATGTTCAGCTGCAGCCCGCAAACTCGAGGCCAGCTGCATTAGTAAGCATGACGTGCTGTACCAGGCCAGCGTAATTCAACATTTATAGGTTTAATAAATGTTGAATAAGCTCCCCAACGCCACAACCTTATCTGTGCTCCAGCTTGCAGACATTCTTGGCAGTGACACTGCTAGCAGGGCAGTGTAATACATAAACAAGGTAGTTTGACGTAAGCTTATACAGCGTGCATAGATCATTCGGTATTCTTTTCCTTTCTGGTGCACAACATTTGCTACAATGCCCCGTGGGCAACCTGATACTATTCCAGGATATTGCAAATACTATAATAATAAGTAGGACGGCTAGATGCAGACATGTGGCAGATAACAGAATTCAAAGATGCTCATAACAGTCATAATTCTAATTTCCATATGCTATATCGTGATTTTTAAAAACCAAGAAATCCCCTGCCTGGAATATCACAGTCACACCAATCTGCTGCATAACATACACATTAGTGTAGATCATGGATACATACAAAGTTGACATTGCATCTCTTTTCAGTAGTGCATTGCCAGTCTGTGGACCAATGAAGAGACTTCTGCACACCTTCATAACCCCACCTTCTTTCATTGCTCCCTATACAATGTACCGTATATTCCGGCATATAAGACGACCCCCAACTTTTCCAGTTAAAATATAGAGTTTGGGATATACTTGCCGTATAAGACTATCCCTCTTCCAATGCACACCAAATAATTTTTTTAAAAGCATCAGATTTGATTTCAATATGGTAATTTTCCTATTGCTGTACCTCCTTCTCTGCCTCTCAGATCTCACACATGCACACCTTCACCACTTCACTGCAATCTTCAGGAGCGAGATCTGAGAGGCAGAGGAGGAGGTATGGTAATAGGATACAAGGGCGGGCCAGACAGGTAAAAGAGTTGTGTTTTTCTGGGCCCAGAGCCACTTTATCTCTTTTTTTTTCCATACCCCGGGCTCCCTGGATACCTGCAGCTTGCTCTGCCCTGCACTTACACCTTCCTGGTGAGGCGCCCCTTCACCTCACCATTGGGACCTCATTAAGTCCACGAATCCTGATAAATGGATTTTCTTCTACCGTACTTGTACAGCGTCGCCCTTAATGCTTTCATACAGTCGTTGCATACGGCAGGGATGCGGCCACTGCCATTTTTGAGCTCCCCTCACAATATGCAGCAACCACAGATTCTCCAATACAGATTGGAAGTTTCAGCACCCGCTCTATAAGACAACTCCCGGCGTATAAGACTACTCTCGCATATAAGACAATTCCCATGCATAAAGCTATTCCAGCGAATAAGACGACTCCCGTGTATAAGACTACTCTCGCATATAAGACGACTCCCGCGTATAAGACGACCCCTGACCTTTTTTAAAAAAATACTTTTTATTAGATACATTTTCTCTTTGAAAACCAGGATAAGAGTACAGGGTGATATTGGGCTGAATGTATACCTACAAATTTTATACAGGGGGTGGGGGAGGGGACAACAGAAAAAAAGTGAGGGGAATGGGGGGTGTGGAGGGTGCCGGAAAAAGGGGGGGAGGGGAGGGGAATTCATGTCGACTTCCAATCTTCTCCACATATCCATTGCCGGTTTGTTCCATTTTACCTTTAATAATTATTCCCTTTCCACTTATATCGTGTTCTTGATGTTTCCTTTCTTCTCATTTCTTTCTCTTCTATACTGCTTTCATGTCTCATACTCTTCCTTTCTTTTTATTAGTTTTTTTTTCTATTTTCTTCGGTGAAGTAGTCATCCGCCATTTTCCAGTTTGTCTTTACGATCGGTCTTCCATAAGATTCTTTTAGAGCAAACGTTAATTTGTCCGCATCTTTGATTTCTTGAATTTTATTTAGCCATTCTTCTTTCGTTGCAAGTTCACTTTGCTTCCATTTTTTTGCTATTACCATTCTAGCGGCAGTAAAGAGGTATGTAAATAAAATGTCCTTGTTTCAGTCCCTTTCAACTGCTTCATCTGTTAGTCCCAATAGAAAGTATTCCGGCTTCAGTTGGATCTCTATTTTCAATATTTACTCGCATGTCTCCTGTACCATCTTCCAAAAGGTCTTCACTTTGGGGCATGTCCACCAGGCGTGAAAGAATGTTCCAACCTGCAAATCGCATTTCCAGCATTTGTTCTGTGTATTTCTGTACATTACGCTTAATTTTTGAGGGGACGACCCCTGACTTTTGAGAAGATTTTCTTGGGTTAAAAAGTAGTCTTATACGCCAGAATATACGGTATATATATATATATATATATGTGTGTGTGTGTGTGTGTGTGTGTGTGTGTGAAAGATATATGGAAAGTAAGGTTATAGACATGACTGGACTTAATGTCAGGGGACTACCTTTACCTTTAAGGTTATACGGCACATAACTGTTGCGAGGAATTTTCTTGGGGGAAGTCGATATCGCTGCCGTGTAGCAAGAAGCCAGCAGAAGCGAATGGGCAGTGCCAGTTGTCAGTAGCTCATCGACTGGCGTTGTGGTGAAGGTTAGAGATGAGCGTCCTCATTCCGTTTCCCCCGAAGTGCGAAATTTGCGCTGTAATATGCTACCTAAATGACTGTTGCAAATTTTATTTGTGTGATTAGTCATGTTTAATTATACTTTTCCTTTGTTATCTGTGACTTTTTCTTGTTATATAGGCTTGTGTTGTGATTTTGTTATCGTATGATCCGTGACCCAAGCCTCTTCTCTGTACTTTATTTTTGCAGGAGAATGCAAAGAACTGGAATCATGTGATAAGTGTATAGAAGGAGCTGCTTCCCAGAACATCACCAACTGTGTGTGGATGCACTGCCAAGAGTCTCAGGAGAAACCAGGTGAGTGGGAAAGTGGCTCACCCAAAACAGATTTCACACACTCTTGCAAACTCTGCAGAATCTATACAAGCTTAGCTTATTAACCTGAACCTGTGCAGTTTCTCTGTCCTTATGTCACTGCACTGTTCAATGGGAATGGCAGATACGAGCCCTCATCCAGAAATTCCAACACAGACATTCCACAATTGCATAATCATGGAATGTCTGGGCACCACAATTCAAGAGAGATATTGACAAGGTGGAATGTGTTCAGAGGAGGGTGACTAAAATAATCAAGGGTCTGGAGAACAAGCCCTATGAGGAGCGGCTTAAGGAGCTGGGCATGTTTAGCCTGAAGAAGAGAAGGCTGAGAGGAGATATGATAGCCATGTATAAATACGTGAGAGGAAGTCATAGGGAGGAGGGAGCAAGCTTGTTTTCTACTTCCATGGAGACTAGGACGAGGAACAATGGCTTCAAACTACAAGAAAGGAGATTCCATCTGAACATGAGGAAGAACTTCCTGACTGTGAGAGCCGTTCAGCAGTGGAACTCTCTGCCCCGGAGTGTGGTGGAGGCTCCTTCTTTAGAAGCTTTTAAACAGAGGCTGGATGGCCATCTGTCAGGAGTGATTTGAATGCAATATTCCTGCTTCTTGGCAGGGGGTTGAACTGGATGGCCCATGAGGTCTCTTCCAACTCTTTGATTCTATGATTCTAATCAACTACTATTTAACAGATCAGACTTTTTATCCACCGATTCCAGTCAATCCCAAACTCTAATCCCCCAGATGTTTGGGGCTTTACCTCCCTGAAGCCTCTATTGCCTTGGTAAGTGAGGAATTTGTTGGACTTGATATTCTCAGCAGGATTTATCTTCCAACAAATATCAGGCTGCCTGAAATCATAATAATAATAATGGTGATGATGGTGATATGATGCCAACCTCACGATTGTGGGGAAAAAAACAAGTATCGATTATCGATGTTGCAATCCCAGGAAACAGCAGGATTGATGAGAAACGACTGGAAAAGCTTACACGAGATGAAGACAGAACTGCAAAGACTCTGGCACAAGCCAGTCAAGGTGGTCCCAGTGATAAATGGCACACTGGGTGCAGTGCCTAAAGACCTTGGCCCGCACTTAAAATCAATTGGCACTGACAAAATTACCATCTGTCAGCTGCAAAAGGCCACCCTACTTGGATCTGCACATATTATTTGCCAGTACATCACACAGTCCTTCACACTTGGGAAGGGTCCAACGTGGGTTCCAATACAAAGGCCAGCATAGTGATCTTGTTTGCTGTGTACTAATATTGTGTATCAAATTATTATTATTATTATTATTATTATTATTATTATTATCATCATCATCATCATCATCATCATCATCATCATCATCATCATCACCATCATCATCACTGGGTGCCATGCCAAAAGTTCTCAGCCGGTATTTGGAAACAATAAACATTGACAAAATCACGATCTGTCCATTGCAAAAGGCCACCTGACTTGGATCTGCACGCATCATTCGAAAATACATCACATAGTCCTAGATGCTTGGGAAGTGTTGGACTTGTGGTTTTGTGTTATGAAATCCAGCATATATATCTCGTTTACCGTGACATACTGTGTTTCTGTGTCAGATAATAATAATAATAATAATAATAATAATAATAATAATAATAATAATAATTCTTTATTTATATCCTGCTTTTCCCTCTTACGGGACCCAAAGTGGCTCACAACATAATACAATTCAAATCAAAGCACCAAGTGTAGTGTCCTGGTGGTGGGTCTGTAGGTGACTGTGGAGCCCTATTCTTGATCTGCATCTTCTCCCACAGTGAGGGCATCGGTTTACAGGTGGAAGGCGGTCCCGGTCAGGGTTGGCTTGACGCGCCTTCCTCTTGGCACATTTGTCTATTTCGCCCTCCATTCGTGCCTCTTTAAATTATACAGCACTGCTGGTCACAGCTGACCTCCAACTGGAGCGCTCAAGGGCCAGGGCTTCCCAGTTCTCAGTGTCTATGCCAGAGTTTTTAAGGTTGGCTTTGAGCCCATATTTGAATCTCTTTTCCTGTCCACCAATGTTTCGTTTTCTGTTCTTGAGTTCAGAATAGAGCAACTGCTTTGGGAGATGGTGGTTGGGCATCCGGACAACGTGGCCGGTCCAGGAGAGTTGATGGTGGAGGACCATCGCTTCAATGCTGGTGGTCTTTGCATCTTCCGGCATGCTGAATCAGGTGTCAAACAGGGATGTGTTATTGCCCCAACCTTATTTTCCATCTTCATTGCTATGATACTTCATCTTGTTGATGGGAAGCTTCCCATCGGAGTGGAAATCATCTATCGGACAAAGCCAAAACCAAGGTTACAAGAACATCTGCTATAGAGCTCCAGTATGCTGATGACGTCATCTGTGCACATTCAGAAGAAGACCTACAAGCCACTCTAAACACCTTTGCAGAAACTTACGAGAAGCTCAGCCTGTCATTAAATATCGAGAAAACCAAAGTGATCTTCCAGCAGTCACCAGGCAATCCCTCTCCAATGCCAGAAATACAACTTAATGGTGTAACATTAGAAAATGTTGACCATTTCCATCACCTTGGCAGCTACCTATCCACAAAAGTCAACATTGACACCGAAATACAACACCGCCTGAGTGCAGCTTTTTCCCCCCGAATGAAGCAGAGAGTGCTTGACAACCAGGATATCCGTAGGGATACCAAGGTGCTTGTTTACAAAGCTATTGTCCTCCCAACCCTGCTATATGCCTGCGAGACGTGGACAATCTACAGACGTCACATGCAACTCCTGGAACTCCATCAGCGCTGCCTCCGAAAAATCATGCAAATCTCTTGGGAAGACAAGCAGACAAATATGTGTGTGTATATACTTGTGTATATGTGTATATATGTGTGTTTGTGTATATATATGGTTTTGTGCATGCCTTGTAATGTATTTTTTGTTTTTTGGCTTTTAAGGTATTTTCTGCTGTGTTTTTCAGTGTTTTTATGAGTGATAGTCACTCGTTGGCCTGATAGATGTATTGTGTCCAAATTTGATGTCAATTTGTCCAGTTGTTTTTGAGTTATGTTAATCCCACAACATTTTTATTTATATAGACTAGCTGTGCCCTGCCACGCATTGTTGTGGCGTACTCTGGTGGAATGGAAAATAATGTAATGACAAAGTGGTGGTATTTAATATATGTTTTTTTTTCTTAATGCTTGTGGGTATACAATTTCAGACATATAACAGCCTGAGCCAGGTAACACCTCCCAACCAAGGATTTCCGCTGGTAGGAAGAAGCCTGGGTTTGAAGCTGTAAAGCTATTCAGTGGTGATCAAGGAGGGATCTTGCAACATTCACACTTGGCTCAAGTAGAAAAGAGTTCTTTCTCTCACCCGGGACCTTTCACAGAGCTATAAATAGAAGCTTCCCAGAGGTTGTTAAAATATCTGGGCACCCTCTGGGGAAGATCCTTGAAGATGGCCAATTCTCTCACAGCAGATGCGACTTGTAGTTTCTCATGGTTTGGGAGATATGTGTGCCTGTATGTTTGTGAGTATGTGTGTATATATGTGTGTGTCTAGACATATATATGTCTCCTGGTATGTGTGTGAATATGTAAGTGTGTTCATTTCCTCCCTCTTTCCTTCCCTCCCTCCTTTACCTTTCCCTCCTTCTTCTCTCTTCCTTCTCTACCTTTTTTTTTACATTCCTTCCTTCGCTCTTTGGTTTCATCCTTCCTTCTCCCTTTCCTTCCTTCCTTCCTTCCCTCTTTTTCTCCTTCTTCCATTCTCTGCTTCCTTCCCTCTTTCCTTCCTTCTTTCATTTTTAATTTCCTTCTCTCCTTCCTTCCTTTTCTACCTTTCCTGCCTTCCCTCCCCTTTTAGTTTCCTTTCTTCCTTCTTTTCCTTCCTTCTCTACCTCTTCCCTCCCTCCCTCCCTCCCTCCCTCCCTCCCTTCCTTCCTTCCTTCCTTCCTTCCTTCCTTCCTTCCTCCTTCCTCCCTTTCCTTCCTTCCTTTCCCCTGTCCTGCCTTCATTCTTTCAGTCTTTCCTTCCCTCCCTCATCTCCTGTACCCTTGCTGTGGCTATGTGTGGTTTAATGGTAATGAAAGAAAAGAGAGGAGCTGGATTCTGATTAATTGTTCTTCCTTTCTTCTCTACCTCTATCTTTGCTTCCTTCTTTTCCTCTTTGGTTCTATCATCCTCTTATATTATTATACATTACTAGCTGTCCCCTGCCATGCGTTGCTGTGGCCCAGTCTGTTGATCTGGAATGTAAAGTAATGAGAATGTGTTGGTTTCTAAAATATGTAATTTCTTTATGCTTGTGGGTAACAGTATTTCTTGCTGTTTCTTTGTCAGTGTTGATGTGGAGATTGTCTGGTTTGCCTACTCTGAAACATGCAACATATCATTGTCCTTCTTTAGGGGTCCCTTTCAAATCTATGATACTATATCTCTCTGTGTGTGAATCATATCTATCTATATCTATGGCTGGATGGCTCTTTGTCAGGAGGACTTTGATTATGTTTTCTCGCCCTGATGAAGGGAGTTGGACTCAATGGCCCTAAATATTTTCTGTTGGTCATGGGGGTTCTGTGTGGGAAGTTTGCCCCAATTCTGTCATTTGTGGGGTTCAGAATGCTCCTTGATTGTAGGTGAACTATAAATCCCAGTAACTACAACTCCCAAATGTCAAGGTCTATCTTCCCCAAACTCCATCTGTATTTATATTTGGGCATATTGAGTATTTGTGCCAAGTTTGGTCCAGATCCGTCACTGTTTGAGTCCACAGCGCTCTCTAGATGTAGGTGAACTACAACTCCAAAACTCGAGGTCAGTGCCCACCAAACCCAGCATTTTCTGTTGGTCATGGGAGTTCTGTGTGCCAAGTTTGGTTCAATTCCATCGTTGATGGAGTTCAGAATGCTCTTTGATTGTAGGTGAACTATAAATCCCAGCAACTACAACTCCCAAGTGACAAAATCATAATTTTTGAG